AATGAACAATAAATGCAAATTGCTTACTACAAATGAAAGTTAAAAATTGCAAATTATTTAATGTGACATTTGTTTCTGCTTATAGGTCGATAACTTTTTCACATCAGGTGAAATATTTGTCGGCAACAGCAATAAAAGATTATCCAGGTTGTCATCACCCAAACTTGTTCGAAAAACGATTTTAGTATATTTCATTTTCGAAAAAATTGTCACAAGCATATGTACTTCCAAATAATGATACTATTTTATATTTTTCGCTTGGCAAAACTTATTTCGTGTAGAAGTTAGCTGTGGAGTCCCAATTACATTTTGATTTAAAAAATTCGTCGCATTGTTAATTGATGAACATCAACTGATATGTTTCTGCCAGTTGTACCACAAATTAATTAAATAATTTATGTCCAGATGTTGAAGTTGTCAGGCTGCACCAAAATCCTTCGCGGGCCGGATGTGGTCCGGGACCCGGGGGTTGCCGCCACCTAGTGTTGGGGCGCACTCACCTTCTAACTAGTAATGGACTAGTCCCTCTTATATAAGTCAGCTCTGGAGAGAGAGAGTGGGGGAGCGTCAAAGAGAGAGAGAGTCAGCGTGAGCAGTCCAGATAAGCTTACCCGTTACATACCGTTGGACTATAGACTTTGGATATTGTTTCGTACTAACCAACCTTCGTTCTACTAATCACTCTATTGTTAATTGCTTTTATGAATATACCAGTATTTTCCTCTACAACTGTGTTTGTCTTGATTCATACACCGACACGCGGGAAACTCACAACATCTCAACACCTAGTCTAAGGGGACTTCATCAGACTAAACTAATGGTCTTATTAATGGAATTATATATGTATATGAGTAAGAGGTGATGTAAACGAGGAACTTCTGAATACGTGGGAACGTTAAAATTTTAAATTTTTACTTTCAAAATTTTAAAGTTACAAAATTTTGTAAAATTTTTAATTTTCAAATTTAAATTTTCTTTTCAGTGGAAACGATTAGCAGTAATTGAGCAGTACTTTTTTTAAGCATTTCACCCCAAGCAAGGCGGGAAGCCACTAGCACAGAAGGGGTTACAGAAAGTTGGAGCGATAGCAAATAGGAGTGATAGAGGAAAGAATGAAGAGAAGGATAGGGGATAGATCAGGGCATCTGGAGACGTCAATTGACATTACATTTGAATAGTTGGAGATTAAAGAAAAGAAAAAGATATTCCTAGACATGGGGAGGGGAACAAATAGCAATCCACCCCTGTAGATTAAATAAGGGTTATCGTAATTGACAGATGTCTGAAGAAGACCGAAGAATACAACGACTGAAACATTATAATAATAGCAACAAAAATGAAGACATTAATCCAACTATAAATAATGTATACAATAACAACTCCACATCCCAGAAATTCAGAGAAAAATAACGTTAGGTTCCGTGTATTAGTCGACCTACCGAGATATTGTTAAAAGCTGTTTTACTGCCTGAAAATATCTTCCTCCCCCGAATAAACATTAATTAAAGATAGATCCGATTTATATTATTGTTGTATGTAAAGTCCTTGAAAAAAGGCACGAGACAACTTCTATCGTTAGGTATCTGGACATAATGTCGCCCCGCCAGTATACCTGGATGTTTAACAGACGAGTGGGTAAACAAACAAGCAGTACTATATCGACCTCAGCTGAACGGGTAGATGAAGCAAGAAGAAAATGTTACAACCATTTCGATATTGACAGGTATATAGCAGGTATAGAGATAAAAGAGAAAGATCCAGGTATTTAATATTAAGAGATAATAGTTTAGCCGGGCCAGTGTCACCTTACTTCGTTCCAAAGGGCTCCCTTTTGAGAGCTATTTTTTGTTTCGAGTATACCTCCCCTTTTTTTAGCAAATAAATTCAGTCGAGATCACCATCAGCTGCTTCATTGAGTTTACATAATCTGAAATCTGAATTTTACGCTCAACAGAAATATATGTAATTAATGACAAAATATATTTTTACCTCGTTTAAATAAAACAAGCAACTAGTAAACCGTATATTTTTTACTCATGTCTCTCTCTCTATCTATCTATATGTTTGTTTATCTATCTATCTATATATCTTATTATGTTCATATCTATCTATCTATCTATCTATCTATCTATCTATCTATCTATCTGATTTTGTTCATATCTATCTATCTATCTATCTATCTATCTATCTATCTATCTATCTATCTATCTCATTCCGTTCATATCTATCTACTGAGCTAGCTATCTACCTATCTATCTAAATAATATCTATAATTTTATATATATATACAGCTAAATATAATTTTATTATATATATATAAATATAAAATATATATATATATATAAACAAGAAAATTTAATTTGTTAACGCTCTAAAAATAAAATAATATATATATATAATTTATCATATATATACATATATATAATTTTATTATATATATATATATATATATATATATATAAACAAGAAAAATATTCAGCAACAGCAATAAGAGTATTTACTCACTTTCTTTTATTCATCATTAAATTGCATCACTTATATTCCTCAACTTTACACGGTTAACTTTAAGAATATTTTAGAGCGTTCTTGAAATGAAAAAATTTGAAAACTTAGCAATGTTGAAAAAAAAACCTTCTATCTAACTGGACAAAGTCCCTCAGGGAACGAAAACTGTTTGTAAATACTTTTGTCATATTTTCTTTTAAAATATATATTTAATTTATGTCTGATATTTACACACACGCATACAAATTTGCTATATTTACAGCGAAAGAGGACTCGACAAAAGAGATAGAGTATTTATAGAGAAAGTATGGACATAGTTATCAGCAATATATGTCGAGTGACAGTTTCAGGTTTCCTTACAATTTTTTGACATTCCTTTTTTAGTGGGCTGTATATATCATGTCCTAAGTAGGCATATGTTTCATTGAGGGTCATAAGAGAAGAGGAAACCGGTCAGTCTTATTTTCTTTCCTTTTGAATAATACTGAATGCTATTTATAATTATTGCTAATTTAATTATGCTGGTTGGGTGGTTGGAGGACGCATGTATGCAAACAAGCCTGCCTTATAGTCATAATCAAAAGACTGCTTATCTATCTATCGATGTATATAGATGTATCTCTCTCTCTCTCTCTCTCTCTATATATATATATATATATATATATATATATATATATATATATATATATATATATATATATATATATATATATATATATAAGAAAGAAAAAAAGGATATATTATGTAAACAGAAAGCATCGATCGAGAAAAATCGTAGAAGATTGTGAGTTTATAAACAGTAAATCGGACTTTGATAACCAGACCCTTCTCAGTGGCTAAATGGTTAACAGCACGTCAGATTAAATGAAAGTTCTCATAAGGGTTACAGATTCGACACCTGTCGGAGAGCGCTATTTTCTACGAAGTGTTTTGAACATTCAGACCGGTAAATGTAATTATTAATGTTTAAATAAAAACAGCGCATTTACTTAAAAAGATTATATCTATAAAAATAATGTATAAACAGAAAATTTATATATATATATATATATATATATATATATATATGTGTGTGTGTGTGTGTGTGTGTGTGTGTGTGTGTGTGTGTGTGTGTGACGTGATTATGGTTGTTTTGGCTTAAGCCATATATTCTGTTCTATTATTTTCCTTTTCGGCCCTTTGCCCTGACTATCAGTTTAGGTGAAACCTAGGTAGGTTTGCCTGGCAACTTAATTTATCTTATATATATATATATATATATATATATATATATATATATATATATATATATATATATATATATATATATATATATATATATATATATATACACAGAAACACACACACACACGTATATATATATATATATATATATATATATATATATATATATATATATAATGGCTTGTTCAGTATGAAAAAAAAAAGTCACTAAATTACCTTCGAAGATATGCTTTTAAACCTCTCAAAACTTATGACCTTCTTGCCAGTTTGAAATAAACATTTTCATAGAACCATAAGTTCCATTCTAAGAGTTTCTTTTTTCGCACCTCTCGCTTGTGGAACTCTCCTCTTTCCAATTGATAGTCAGTCACTTTTGATCTTCAAACATTTAAAGGCAATGTCAATCGTTATGTTTTCGTTATTCACTTTCTTTTATTGTTCTCTCTCCTTAATCATAATTTTCTTTTTCTGTTATTCTTTCACACTGGTTAACCCCCGTCTTAGTGGCTTTATTGCCTTCCTTATGGTGAAATGATTAACACCATATGTAACTTATGCAAAGAGGTAATTGATAGCCTCGCCTCGTCTTATAAAACCAATTGCTCTTTTGGTCTTGTGCTAGACAAAACTGAAAGCTTCACATATTTACAAAGGGCGCCTCCTGTAGAGAGGTAGTTGTTAAACTTGTATTCTTTACAGTTTGTTTTCAGAGACGTTTTCTTAGTGTAGTGGGGTCGATCTTCATTGTAGTACGTCTCCATTACATCCAAGTATTATGTGTGTGCGTGTGTTTGCGCACGCGCGCGCGTGTGTGTTCCTGTGAGAAAACGTTAATACATATGCAAGTAAATGTGTATTGAGAGTAAGACATGTTAGATGGTTACCCACTGCCAACGCCATTTTCATTGTCTGCTAAACCCCCTTTAAGCTGTACGTAGGTTGGAAATTGTTTCCTTTCGATTTAGGTTCAGTTACGAAAGATTGGCCTCTTCATTTTTCGTGGATTAATGACTTGTGCTTCTCTATTTCCGCTTACTGTTTAATCTCCAATGTTTATACTTCACGTCAGGATTGATGGCCTGCATCTTTCACTTTGCATTTGCCGGGATTAATTAAATCACACATCTACAGGAGATCATAACCTTTAACTTTTAGTGGAAGTTATTAGCGTGTAAAGGCTTTTAGATATAGTGGTACTTTCCGTAAAAGAGATAAATAAGTATTAGATAGAAAGATAGATAGATAGATAATGAATAGAGTGAAATAGACAGTTATAAACAGAGTGAGATAGATAGATAGATAGATAGATAGATAGATAGATAGATAATGTACAGTCTGAGATAGATAGATAGATAGATAGATAGATAGATATGTACAGACTGAGATAGATAGATGATAGATAGATAGATGAGATAGATGTACAGAGATAGATATTTAGGAATAGATGATAGATAGACTGGATAAAGATAGATAGATAGATAGATAGATAGATAGATAGATAGATAGATAGATAGATAGATAATGAATAGACTGAAATAGACAGTTATAAACAGAGATAGATAGATAGATAGATAGATAGATAGATAGATAGATAGATATGTACAGACTGAGATAGATAGATAGATAGATAGATAGATAGATAGATAGATAGATATGAAAAGAAATTGCTCTGGACGTCTTTTTTGAATTTCTCCCCAAATCTTAAGAAGAAGTCATATCAATCCCTGAAGAAACTGGAAAATGGACGATTGCCTTTCCCGCTCCAGAAAAATACCTGACTTCTTCTGTAATACTCCATCTTACTAAGAGTCAGATTGGACCAGAAATAGTGCATTGCTGTGCATTCTCTGTAAGAGTTGCTCAATCTTTACTTTCCCGACTTATCAGACTTCAAAAATGTTAATGTGGCTTTGAAGTTGATGAATTATTTCCCACCCTACAATCCTTTTCCCCGCAATCGAAATGTCACTCTTTTCTCAATAATCTATTGTTTTCTTCATGACAAATCTTCTGGCGTGCTACATTCCTTAGTTTCACCAGTTCAGACCTTTACAGCCAAGATACGCCATGAAACGAAAAACAGGGTCGAATCACTCGAATTCTCTTCATATTTCATTTGTAAGAAAGAAGATCCATTCTTCTTCCCATGAACCGCTAATTTGAAGAACAGACTTCGGAGTGGATGCTCCCTGATCGCTCTAATATTCAACTATCAGGTAAACCGTTACCTATTTTCAAAAACCTCATTCACTACCACTCTACCTACATTGGCTCTTGATACTTGTATTGAGTGAAAAGCAGTGAAGATACACATATTTTCTTAATGGCATGTTCCTTTGGGATCTGTCTTTATTTTTCAGATGAGTTATCATAATTATTTACGCTATTTACATCGTTCGGACTGTTGTCCTCATTTTCATTGCCATATTCACGACATTTCAGCCGTTCCTCGCTCCGATCTTCTTCAGGTTATATACATTGGAATTTCGAACAGAACGCTTCATTTAGTCCACTGGGATAGAATGTTCTAGTTCCATGAGTTTCTGGATATATCAGTCTACAGTTAATTTCCTTTAATAACACAACTTTTCAAGTTCTTGTTCCCTCTGCCGTGGCCAGGTATTGAACTCACAAGGACACATGGCCCAGTGGATAAATGTATTGGATGAGTAATTCAAAAAGTGGCTTAACCCAAAGGGTTGTAAGTTGAATATCTGTCCACAGTAAAAGAAACAAAAACAAAATTATTGGTCGATGGCTCCCACACAAGGTTACAGAGTTCTGTCCCTACTGGATACAATGGCTAGAGAGTTTAGTCATTTTAATTATATCTGATAAATTTGTTTTGCTTTTTAGGAAACCTGTATCTAAAGCCAGTGGGGACAATAAATGGTGTTATGCCCTTTTGTGGATCATTCGTACATGCTCCTCTAGAGGACTACCGCGTGGTTTTAATGTTTGTTCAACACCCACAGAGTCTACCTGTGGTTTTAACTGCAACTATGCTGTGCGAACCTTAGTTAAAGTTTCTGGAAGAGAGTGCGTTATCTAGCGTGATCAGCAGACTTAAGTCTTAGCTCAAGTAGAGATATGGCTTTCAGGCACTTTCCAAATCTGCCTTACGCTGGGATCGCCTCCCCCAGGCCGGTAACATCAAGAACTGAACTTCCTGACAAATTGACCATAGTGAAATTCAAAGCCTGGTTTTATGGTCATATAATGCCTGGCAACTCGTATCCGAAGACGTCCGTCTGCTGGAGCAGTTAGTTAATCTCTATTGCAGACGCCTGCTCAGGCATATTTGTGTTTGTTCAACACCCACATGGCACACCTGTAGTCTATACTGCAACTACGCTGAGCGAACATTAGTTACAGCCGCTGAGAGAGTGATAGAGCGTTATCTAGCGTAACCAACAAGGCTATCACGGTCTAAACCCCGGTCAAGAGTTCTGTCTACCTAATTTTACTCACAAGACTTGTGTCAAGCACTGATATGGTTTTCAGGAACTTTCCAAAGATGTGACACAAGGATCGCATTTCCCAGATCGCCCCTCCACCGATAACATCAAGATGTCACCTTCCCGACAAATCGACCATGGTGAGATTCAAACCCGGGTCTCATGGATATATATATATAATCGACTCTCACGTCGCGTTCGACGTATGAGGGTCAGGCCGATAAATCCCCAGGAACCGACATCCCGACACCGGCAAGAGATTTGTTTATAGTGGTGAAGGCCTTGTGCAGGACCAGCCACACTTTTTGGAGGGACGAATACAGAAACCTGGTGCACCGAATGCATGCCACAAGGTTCCCAAACGACCCTCCGCAGGTTTTGAATTCAGAGTTGTCCTTCTCCTAGACCAGTTGCCATCCAAGGCTATAGAACCCAGTCTGTCCTGCTATTTTACCCATAGCTGGAGGGAGATGAAGAGGATACATACCTTTCCCAATATATATATATATATATATATATATATATATATATATATATATATATATATATATATATATATATATATCCTCGGTGTTACATTTGAGAGGATAGTAATGAAGATGAGGATATTGGTCAGAGTATAAAGAATATAATTAAATCCCAGAATATGACAATGAAGATGAGAAGTCAAACTACTGCTTTGCCTACGAACACCATATAGTTGCTACTTCTATTAAGTGTTGGTAGTTTATTAGAAAACTATAATGAAGTTAATGAATTGGTTAAATGTTAATATTTTAGTCGTATATGAAACCAGGTGGGCAAACAATGGTGCCAAGACCATATATGCAGGCTGAGAGAAAAATGAAAGAGGAGTAGGACTGATACTTGATTAAGGCATGAAGAAATGTGTTATTGGATACTATCATCTGAAAGAATTCTTGTCTTTAAACCGAAGGAAAAGACTTTCAACATATCTATCATAGTTGTCTCTACACCGGCAACACAAAGTACAGAAAAAGGTTTCTAAATGATTTACTATACGCTAGGTAGCGCCAAAGCTGATTGCAAATCGTAAGAAATATTTAATGTCATGCAAGACCTGAATTCCAAAATAGGCAACGATGGGGGTGGTAGAAGAATTGGCAAATTCAGACTAGAATCTCGTAATGGTTCCATCAGTGCACGGTGTATGATAATGTAGTAACCAACACAGAATTTCTCGTCTGCGTCCTTGGTAAGACGATAAACTACCTCTGACAGCAAGACCTCTGATCAGAAGGTTTTGAGGAGCGTGGAACCACATCTTAATTGCCGGTGTTCCCAGGTCCACACGGACCCGTGGTGGTAGCATCTGTTAAGTTCCTAGCTATGGGCAAATAGTTGAGCCCCAAACTGGGGTCAAAACACTATGAAGTGTAAAAATAAGTTTTAATATCAGAAAAACTATTACCAGCAATACATTTTTGGAGAAAGACAAACAAATATTACCAGCAATGAAAATATTGTCGTCATTGAACAACCGATTGAGGTCTATATACCGTAAGACAAACCAAACCAAACCTAATTTCTCGAATAGTCCATGTTCTAAGCACTCGAGCACGAGTCCATCCGAAGGTCATTAGTCCGAAAGTAAACTCAAATGACTAGGTTAGAATTCGAACTCGACTCACTGGTTTTTATTTTCCTGTTGATCATCGTTCGCTCGTCAAATACCCGTTAACAATACCCATACTAACATGAGGTAGCAAGAAATGGTCATATATGTTGGGAAATGATTGTATTACACTAACATTTACTAGGAAAGCGGGTGGCAGACCGGTCATAATTCCTTACATATCTCCAACTAGAAATAACTGCCTTGTCTGAGATCTAGGATTATGGTTGACTGCTCGTCTAGAGGCAGAATCAACCTACGACATTTCAAAGACAAAATATTACACATTCTCATTCTCTTCCGACATATCCCCATTTACTCAAAGCGGTTGTACCTTTATTCAAGTACAGAACCTTTATTGAAAACATGTATTCGTATATACCCGAGTCATCCAAAGACAATGTATTGTATATCAGCCAATCAGAAACAATTACTAATATGTCCAGGCTAACCCAATTCATTGATCATTATCTTTATTCTGACCCAAAAGCTAAGAATGTGACTCATCTAATTCGTGCATGACCAATCATCTCATTAGGTATTCTTGCCTTCATCATTTTAATTTGATAAGCAATTTTCTTGAAAATAAAGTTTCTTCCATTGTTGCTTTGCTCGGTAGATATATTTAATTCCAACTCAGAAAATTAGTTAATCGTAGAGATATTAAAGGAGAGTAAACTTTCTAAAATTAAATAATGTTCCTCTCTATCAAAACACTAAACATGTTTTCAACGAGGGAAAGACTCAAATATAACCGTTTTAAATTTGGTCATTTTTGTCTGATACTTTGTACATTTCATTGGATTCTTCCAGAATTTGATCTGGCACTTCGAACATATGATTTGACTCTTAGAGAATCTCATTTGGCATTTCGGGAATTTGGTCTGACACTTCACAAATTATACCTGGCACTTCGGGAATTTAATCTGCCACTTAACAAATTTGTTTTAACTCTTCGCAGATTTGGTTTGATGCTTCGGGGTTTGATGTTGCAAATTTGATTTAACACTGCGGATCACATCCACAAAAATATACACACACACACACACACATATATATATATATATATATATATATATATATATATATATATATATATATATATATATATATAAGCCGTGACGTAAAATAGGTTGGTTGATGTCCAGGCACTTGGTAACCCCTCTGGTAGTAAATGAGTCCTAGTTCTTTTACTAGGCTACAGTTCGGATTATTCATTTTAGAAGGTGGACACTTCAAATTAAATTTCTGTAGAGTGTCGAGATATTTTAAACCCTGTTTTACCACCTGAACCATCACTACTTGTCTAAAAGATGTGTAAAGCGTAGTTCAGGCGTTCTTCGTCTATGTATCGCGTGGTACGTGACCTTACACAGAATTAGGATTTGGAAACGTCTCCTCTTGTCCGCTTCACACTCCTTTACTTTATCTTTCATTCTTGCTTCGGCGAATTGATTAGAAAACCCTAAATCTAGAAATTTTATCTCGGTGTGGAGTAGGGAGACTACGTTGAAGTATATCTCCTTTATCTTAGCACTGCACGCCCGTTTCCACTGTGTTCAAGTAGACACTGCCCGACCCAGGGACTGAACTCATGTCACCAAAT